TTTTTTTTTCTTTTTTAGTCTCTATTTCATTTAGTTCTGTTTTGATCTTTATTATTTGTTTCATTCCACCAGTTTTGGGTTTGATTTGTTCTTGCTTTTCTAGCTCCTTGAGGTGTATAATTAGATAGCTTATTTGAAATCTTTCCACTTTTTTCATGTGGGCATTTATTGCTATAAACTTCCCCCTTAGCACTATTTTTGCTATATCTCATAGGCTTTAGTATGTTATATTTCTATTTGTTTCAAGAAATTTTTAAATTTCCTCCTTAGTTTCTTCTTTGGCCCAATGGTCATTCAAAGCATGTTGTTTAATTTCCATGTATTTGTACAGTTTTCAAAGTTCCTCTTGTTACTGATTTCTAGTTTTATTCTGCTGTACTGATTTCTGGTTTTATTCTGCTGTGGTCTGAGAAGATAATTGATATACTTTCAATTTTTAAAAATTTGTTGAGACTTGTTTTGTGGTCTAACATATGGTCTGTCCTGGAGAATGTTCCATGTGCTAAAGAATGTGTATTCTGTAGCTGTTGGGTGAAGTGCTCTGTAAATGTCTGTTAGTTCTATTTGGTCTAATGTACAGGTTAAATCCAGTGCTTCTTTGCTGATTTTCTGTCTAGATGATTTGCTTAGTGCTAAGAATGGATTGTTGCAGTCCCCAATATTATTGTATTGCAGTCTATCTCTCCCTTTAGATCTAATAATATTTGCTTTATATATCTAGGTGTTTGGGTGTTGGGTGTACATATATTTACTATTGTTATGTCCTCTTACTAAATTCATCCCTTTATCATTATATAATGACCTTCTTCGCCATTTTACTTGAAGTTTGTTTTATCTGTGATAAGTATAGCTATTCTTGCTCACTTTTTGTTTCTGTATGCATGGAATATCTTTTCCCATCCCTTTACTTTCAGTTTATAAGTGTCTCTAGAGGTGACATGAGTTTCTTGTAGTCAGCATATATTTGGGTCATTTTAAAAAATCCATCCAGCCAGTCTATACTTTTAAGTGGAAAGTTTAATATGTTTATGTTTATATGTTTATATTCAAGGTTATTGATATATATCAATATATGAGAGCTTATTCCTGTCATTTTATTAATTGATTTCTGATTGTTTTGTATATCCTTTGCTCCCTTCTTTCTCTCTTACTATCATTGTAATTTGGTGGTTTTGTGTCATGGTAACATTTGAGTCTTTTCTTCTTTATGTGTTTGCTCTACCATTGGGTTTTATACATTTCTCTTCTAGATGTAGGACCCCCTTTAGCATTTCTTGTAGGACTAGTCTAGTGGTGATGAATCCCCTCGGCTTTTGCTTGTCCAGGAAAGAGTTTATTTCTCCTTCATTTATGAAGGGTAACTTTTCTGGGTGTAGTATGCTTGACTGAATTTTTTTTCTTTCTGTACTTTGAATATATCATCCCATTATTTCCTGGCCTGTAAGGTTTCTGCTGAGAAATCTGCTGTTAGTCTCATGGGGCTTCCCTTATAAGTGACTAGATGCTTTTCTCTTGCTGTTTTGAGAATTCTGTCTTTGACTTTGACAGTTTGACTATAATGTACCATGGAGAAGACCTTTTTGAATTGTATCTATTTGGAAATCTCTGAGCATCCTGAATCTCTTTCTAGACTTGAGAAGTTTTTAGCTATTATTTTGTTAAATATGTTTTCTATCCCTTTCGTTTTTTCTTCACCTTCTGGGTCACCATAAATAGGGTCACTTTATGGTGTCCCATATGTCACAAAGGCTTTGTTCATTCTTTTTTATTTTTGTCTGGCTTTTTTTTCTTTTGACAGAGTCTCACTTTGTCATTCCTGGTAGAGTGTAGTGGCATCATCGTAGCTCACTGCAACATCGCACTGCTGGAGTCAAGCGATCCTCCTGCCTCAGCTTCCCAAGTAGCAAGGAATACAGACATGCACCATGACACCTGGCTAATTTTTTTTTCTATTTTCAGTAGAAATGGGGTCTTGCTCTTGCTCAGGCTAGTCTCAAACTCCTGAGCTCAAGCAATCCTCTGCCTTGGCCTCCCAGATTGCTAGGATTACAGGTGTGAGCAACCATACCTGGCCTTGTCTGGCTTTATTATTTCAAAAGACCTGTCTTCAAGTTCTGAAATTCTGTCTTCTGTTTGATCTAGTCTATTTTTAAAGTTTTTGAATGTATTTTGTATTTCATTCAATGAATTCTTCAGTTCCATAATTTGTTTGGTTCTTTTTTTATGATATGTAGCTCTTTGGTAAATTTCTCTTTAATATCCTGAATAATTTTTCTAATTTATTTGTTTTCATTTTTGTATTCTCTTGTATCTCA